GTGACGTCATGCGACTTTTCAAATCAATATATCTCTGCAATGTTTATATTATGTGAAAAAAGAAAAAATACGTGTCCAATATTTTTTGATAATCTACCTGATAAACGAAGAAAAAAAAATAGTCATCATCCCTATTCAAATTTTTTAATGATTTTATGTCAGTTTCTTTCCAACTACAGAGCGAGTGAGTAAAGTAGTGTGTCAGTACACAACTACACAATGAATAACTTGACTCACTTCACTAGACGCTGACGCTAGCAAACGTGTCAATAAATGCATCAATCTTTGAGCATTAACAAGTTGTGACTTGATTAGTTCAAACAAAACAAACTTCAAGCGTGCACGTGTCGCTCTGGATTAAACCGGTTTATTAAGGTTTTAGGTACCGCTTTCATTTCGGACGCGCTCCGAACAAAACCTTTACTAAAAACCGGTATTAAACTTTATTTACCGGTATTTCCGAAACCGGCTACAGGCCCTGACGGTTTCGGTTTAGATTTTTAACATGCTATCTAAATAGAGACTTTTATAAATGTCCAGAAAGCATTGGTTGGTGGACAATACGCCCCAATGCGTGCGGCCTGTATGCTACAATGTTGTTCTTAACAATTAACACAATTCTAATTGGTTCCCCAGTTTGTGTATTATTGGGTGAACCGTTCACCTAGTAATACCCAAACTGGGGAACCAATTATATTATCTTTTAACTTTATTTAATATCCATACTCGATTAATATACCTAACTAAACATATTTTGGTGTAACAAAGCAATATTGGTAGTAAAAATAAAATACCTCAAAAGCCATGAGCCTTACGAGAACAAACTAAAAACAGACAAACCAGAATGTCTGTGTGATACAATTAATTGTTGTCTTGGTAAGCATATTCGGATTATTCTTGGTAAGCATCGCGGATGGGTATAGGTAAAATAAGTAGTAACTTATACTATAAATATATTTTTCTTGTATTTCATGAATACAAATAGGTACATCCCCAAAAAGGAATCCGCTCAGACCCGGCTAATAGCAGTCGTCTCCGTATTGTGCAAAGTCCTTGAAAGGTCCTATAATAACCATCTGACCCGCTACCTAAAGGACCGATCTCCGATTAATGATTGTTAACACGGTTTAGACCAAAACGATCAATGGGTGACCTTCTAGCGTAAGTGACTCAGATCTGGAACTGAGGGTATTGAGAAGACAAGTCTTTGGCTATCAGCTTTGACAACGCCAAGGCTTTCGGCAGGGTCTGGCACAAGTCTTCTCTCCTAGCTTTCTGCATACGATCTGCCTGCTTAGTTCTGTACCTGGATGGCTGACTTACTGCTTAGGATTCGCATTTTTACGGACGGATGTAGTTCAGAGTTAATGTCTTCATTTTATCTCAGTAGGAATATTACTTACTTGCGTTGCGAATATAATGGTGTATTTGCTTTGTTAAGTTTCTAAAATTTACTTGATATGCTTCGACTCTTTGCTAGTATGAATTGACCATTAGGTTTTAACCGTCCCTAATTTTTCACAGCTCTTAGAGAGTTATAAAAAATATGTTTCATAGGACATTCGCAGCATGTCATTATTAGGTGAGTTGGTTAAAAGCATACTTCCATTAAAGGTCGAATCTTCTGCAGATTCTTCATCAATTACCCGAATTTACGAAGGTCTCTTACATACAAATTTTAAGGGATTATTTATCGTTTAATTACTATTACTTCCAATATTATGAACATAAATAGTCAATCTTAAAGGAAAATAAATCCCATTTTTTTTAATCATCTGCTTTTTTTACCCATGTAGTTGAGCAACAGCGGGTCTATTCTGTAAAAAATTTTCACCACATCGGATCCGCGCGAATCTATATGGGAAACGGGGCTTCTGTAAACGCGCGTGAAAATTTTACAGAAAAGCTTCGCAGGTACAAATTCTAACATTGGTTCGGAATTTTCAAGGGATGCAAGAATAAAATACAACGCACATCATTGCTATTGTTTATTGATTTAAAATACAAAACTTAGTGACATAAAGCTCTATCCTTTTATTGTTTCAGTGCCTGCGTACTGACAATAAACATTTTACAGCTCGCCGCGCGCGCACCAACTCACATTGTCATGTCACACACATTTCACGTAATACCATACTGTCACAGTACAAATAAATAGTAAGTATAGTATATTACATACTCAAGCGCAAACATCTAGGGCCATCCTTGAGTAATGGATTTAGTTAGAACTATTCGAATAGGTTGGTGTTTTACGTGTTGTTTTTTTTTAATATTCACTTAACGTTCCGGCTAGTTGTTATGTAAGATACAGCGTTGTTACAGCGGGTTCCCTATGTTCAACACGGAATAGATACATGCCTCGATACAAAACAAAATATGCGAAAATCATACTCTACGTAACAAATAGGAGCTTATATAGATATTACATTAGACGTTATATTACAAAATAACTCAAGTGAAACATTGTAACACGTAATGGTCAGTGGAAGAAGGTGGTAGTGCGTCACTTTTAAGCACAGTAATATAGTACTTGTGGTCGATCTCGATGCTATATAAAATACGTTCGATATCAATGTTAACAAAATTAAAAGCCGAGAAGTAACACACTTCCAACTTATTCGACTGCACGCAGTATAAAATAGTCAACTTTCAGAAACCCGCTCTTTGATTAACATGTTATTGCTCTATTACCAAATTAAACAAGTCCCATACCTATTTCTTATACTCCTTCTAACAATCCTATAACCTCATGAAGCAGAAAAGTATTATAGTAAATATTATACAGATAGTCGAAAATTTATAGTACAGAACAGTAAGATTAGAAATAGATTCAAATCTACAATGAAATGGGTGAAACTAGTTGTTAGCACTAAACAAAGGAACATCGGAAAATACTTTCATGCTTCATGTAAGAAAACAAATAGCTTTTATTTTACCATACAAACGCTTTAGTTCGAAATTTAAAAAATAACAGTTACATAATCGTGGGCGTTTTGTTTTAATTTTATTCATATATATAAAAATTCACAGCAACATTACGCAGTCAGTAAGAAAAAGTTTTGTTTGTTCTGCAAACAGTTGCAATGTCATCGTTTCGGCGGCCTCACTCTCAAAATTCCTATACCTTCTCAGTCGTTAATTAACTAAAATATAATTAGAAATAATAATATTTTCCTAAACCCAAGTTGAGAATGAGGCCACCAAATATTGGACCCGCTACTGATGCGACTTCGTGTCAACCTTAATAAATATAAGAAAAATCACCAAACTTATGCCATAGACTCCACTAATATAGTGAATATTTTTCTATATACAATTAAATAAACCATGCACTGGATACGTGCAATTTCGCTATGACATCACAGCTTATAGCTTAGCCGCATTGTGAGAGCGCTAAACATAATTGGAGAGACAATTGAACATTTTGTTGTTCACGGCTCTTCTTTATGCATGTTGGAACTATGGGGGGTGTGTTACCGACTCAAATTAGCACTTATTGTATTAGCAGTTTTATGCTTTGCTAAGCATGCGTAAAATATTACTTCTCTTTCGATTAATTTACAATACTGCTGTACATTTAGTACACACATACGACGAGGGATGTTGTTTGAATTAAATTAAGTTATTTAACATCCCTCATACCTTTTTCCATTCCAATTCCAATAAAGTGGTCCCTTATCGACAGGGAACTAAGCCCGTCTGCATTACCAAAAGTCAAAAGTCAGTACTTTTTACATTTTTCAACATTTTCGTCTCCCGAAGGACCAAGAACCAATTCACTCATACCCGTATAGGTAAACGACCGTTGTCAATAACATAATCACACTAAAATACTTTTTTTTTCGGCTAGACAACGTCTGTTACACATATATATTTAGCAAAAATGTCTAAGCAAATACTAAGGGCTGCTTTGCACCAAAGTTTTTATATGAAAAAGTGAAATTCCATTTAAGAACATTGTTGCGTGTGTTCCTCCAAGTGTAACACATTCATGTTCACACTAAAGATTTAAATTATTGACACCGATCGTGGATCAAATGCATCAATTGATATGTAATTCAAACTAACGCTAATCATTCTCGGCTGCGTTACATTCTGTAAACACAACTCATTAGTAGAATTAGCATGCCAATGTTATCGTGTTCCGATATCAATGTTCGGTAATCGCCCCTTGCGTTCACACGTCACATATTATCACCCAATCGGCACGGCGTACTGAAATGACGTCATCGACGACAAAAAGTCCGTCATGAGTAGCGGGTCTTATTCATAAAAAGTTCCGGCACAATAAGGCAGTGATTCAGTGTATTGCTATACAAAATATCTCCGTTACAAAGTTTCGACCAGTCTGTTGCAATGAGGTTAGTCTATTGTAGATTCAAATCCAAAAAGGTTGAATGAGTCACAGTTTTATGTAATTCGACAATTTTTTATTTAATCCCTATCTGAGAGATACCCAAAAAAAGTTTTTATTCTTTAATATTATGATTCATCAACATTCTCGTAGCCTACAAGTACATTTTGTGTATTTTTTATTATTATTCAATTATTTTTAATAGAATTACCTATACACTATTCCGTTTTACACATCGTCTGAATATTCCAATGGTTCAATCAAAATAACCTATTTATACGCTTTTTAAAATAATACTCGAGACTCCCGGATCACAAGCGTCACAGTGGCGTCCATTTATATACAACGAGTCCGCGACGCGATCCGTCCGCGGATCGGTCGGTCGACGCGTCGGTCGCGCGAACGGATCTATTTGTGCATTAAAAATACTTAAGAGCTAAGGGGTGGGGAAGCCGCGGCCGGGCGCAGCGTACGGGCGCAGCGCAGCCGCGGGCGCCTCATTATATACAATTTATCTTCTACCGTATTGCGTCCTTGATATGCGTCGCGTAACGTAGGCGTACGCGGGAGCGTGCCGTTATATATTACACAGTCAGACTTACGGGGCGGGGAGGGTAGGGGAGGGGAGAGGCGGGGGGTCATCAGTCTAGTGAATGGCGACGGGCGAGTGTGCCAGCGAGCAGACGGGCAGCAAGTCTTCGTCCCGCCGCGCCGCTTCTACGTCCATGCGCTCGCCACCCCAGCGCCGCCCGACGCCGCCCACTACGCCCACACCGCGTGCCTCCGCTGTACAACACAAACGACAAACCATCAAGATTCGTACTCCAGCAGCGGGCCATCCACTACCGTTCATTCCTGCTGGAATCTATAATATGTACGAATTGAATGGTAGTCAATTGCTTGCTCGCTCCCGCACAACGACTACCACTCAATCCGTACGGATTATAGATGCCGGTAGGAATGAGCGTTAGTGGATGACCAGCTAGTCCCTGTAGCATTTGCCGCCACAATTTACGTTATATTACGTTTTTTATCGCAATTGAGCGTGATAAAAACGAGATATATATCATACCGTGGTGTGCATGCTAGGGGGCAGAAAACGATATAATGCGATTCAAACGTAATAGCGGTAGTGAAGTTAGCGCAAGTCCCAGAGCTGTAAACCAAGTGTAATGCTGCTCCCACACCTACGCGACGAAGCTTTGGTACTAAGACTTACTTGCAAAAACTTTGCTTCATCTCAATTCAAAACTACAACTACACTTCCGGACACATCAATCGGCCCACCTAGCATTTTAAGTTTTGACGGTCCCTAGCTAAAAATAAATGTAACATTGAGCAAAAAGTTATTACCTACGCAGTTTTGAAGCTGACATATGACAATCTTTTCGTGTGTTTTTAAAAATTATAACACTAAGTGGGCCGATAGATGTGTCCGAAAGTATAGATGTAGCCCGTACAATGATGTCAAATTGACATTGTCGTTTTGACCTTTTTCTATAGTATAGATCTAGTTTTAGTTGAATCGAGATTTAGAAAATTTGCTGCAAGTAGGGCTTAAAGTTTGCGTTCGAAATTTAAATTGGTTTAAGCGTAAAGAAATGAATTATTAATGTGCTGCATAACTATAGACGTTAGAAGATAGCTTGATTGGCGGTTTTTGACACATATCAGAGGTGGTAGTGGAGGTGGAAGTCAGATGGAAATTACGAACGCAAATTTTAGCGCATTCAGTATCAAAGTTCCGTCGCGCAAACGTGGCAGAAGCATCACGGTTGCTAAGTCAGCTTAAGTCGCGGCGCAGCAAACGAAATGAACAGTGCGACAAGCATCTGCAGAAATGTGAGTGACAGTTCAGTGAGGGCGCCACTGTCTACGTTAATTCCAGGAAACGACATACAAAATATGACGTTTAACAGAGATAGCGACCGTTAATTTTAATGTTCGCCACATTTCTAAAGATTCTTGTCGCAATGAAGGATGATGTAAGTGCGCGCGGGACGCACTGAACTGAAATCTGCAAATTGTTGAGCTCGCTACTAACTTCACAGCCGCCGTTGAGTTTGAATCACACTAAACGCGTCTCTATGCATGCGTGTTTGAACAGCCGTTCCCAATACCTTATTCTCGGTGAAAGATCGTTATTGATTCTTACTCTTGTAAAAGTTCCTGAAAGTGTCTCCAGTATGAATGGAGATTGTATGAGAAGAAAACGGCAGATAGATGCCGCAACTTGACAATGCTATTGTGAGTCCAATTCATCAGGTTGCTAGTCTAGGCCTTCTTCTAAAGAGCAACACAACATTAAAGAATTAATGAAATTATTTAGTCGTCATCCATTAAATATTCGCTATCTCATCTATCTGAAAAATTCACTGAGCCTTGGATTTCTCACCAAAGGTAAGTAAGTTATTGAGAAAGACTGTTAGTAGAATTCATCAAATTTTATTTAACCAACTTATTTCCCATTGCTTAGACAAAACAAAAGAAATATACAACAAAAGTAAAATACACTGAAATCATTTACTAGGAAAATATTTTTTTGGCGTTATAGTCTAGCAGTGGAAAACAAAAGAAACAATTAAGTACCAAAAAAAACTTGAAAGGATCATCGCTTCTTTTCAAATTTGTTAAAAAAGGTAATGATCCTGACAAAAAGAACAACACATAATATCATGTAAACTTAATACTTCATATAGTCTACTTAAAATCTATTATTATATCGGATACTAATCTCGTGGGGTTTCGATAATCATACACTATGCTATGTTTATGAAATGTAACAGCAATTGTTCATGTATAAAATAGTAAAGTATGGATATAACAAGCATTCCCAACAAGATGTTCCTATTTAAGAACAACCTGTTACTCTGTATTAGTACTATGACATAAATTTATGGTTCAAGCAAATAAACATCAGAGCATTCCCATATTGCAATCTGTAACTCTATGTTAAGCGCATTTTTATTTTCTACTTTGTTATCTAAAAAGACAGATAATAATATTAAATAATTTTAGTACTTATGCTCAATTAAAAAAAATAACATAAAATTAATTATTAAATGAATTTTTTAGGTAAATTAATAAGGTTTGAAATTACTAAAATTATAAATTTAGGTAAATTAAAATTCAACAAATCGTCGCTTTGGTGCAACTTTCGCCATGTAATTATATCATCCAGGTGAAGGCGACTTTATTGGCTGTAGTTAAAATTTAAAATCGCTATGAACATGAAATGTTCATATGTATTCCAGAGTTACAGATTACCTTATTTCATGCAAACAACACTGAATGCATGCAGTGGATTCTATCAGGTGGATGTGTGGAGAGAGGGTTGGCAACTGTTCAAAACGTAATGTTTGTTTTAGGTAGTCTCCCCGATGATTTTTTCCAAAGAATTAAATTTAATTTACAAATCACAGTTTAATTACAGTCTACTTAAATCTGCATTCCTTACTGATTCCAAGCAAACTTTTTATTTGATTTGTGGTTTTAACGCGCTTTTTGATCTTTTTGTGCTTCATGAATTTCATGGTTACAAATTAAACGCAATAAGAATATTTATAATGGTGGTAGGTAAAGGCAAGCAATGACGATTTGTTTTTTATTTTAATTGAAATAAGGATAAGCAGCCAAAGCATTTCCGTTAAATTTTCTGTTAGTCTCCAAAATAATAATAATTCGAAACAGTGTTTGGTGATGAGACTTTGAATACAACAGTGAAATGCACAATGAATCTGTCTTTTAAGTTACGCTAAAATTTACAAAGCTCTTAAATAAGAACGTGAATAATGTGGACTGAATAATTGTTTGTTTGTTATTTTTGCTAACAATATTATGTCTGCTAAAGTATCAACGAACGCATTGAACAGTTGTATCATAATGCGTTTAAAGTTTGGGAAGTTTTAGAATTTTTTAACAGCCACAGTTTTTAAGTTTATATAATGTCCTTTGTTTTCAAATATGATTGATATGCGTATAAAATTCGATGTATTGGATCTGATCTGATTGGATTGGATCCTTTTTTTTTTGGTTTATTTACCTTTCGTCTAAGTGGCAGTTGAATAAAGTATAGGTATATCAAAATCTATTTCATCAATGTGTTTGCTAAAGTATCATAATCAACGATCGTAATGAACATAATCTGGTTAAACCAACCAGGATAAATCACTAATAGGTGTTCGGTACACCTAGAGTTGATATGATAAGTAAAAGATAAGAATTTAAACTATTTATTACTACTATATAATATCATAATCAACGATCGTAATGAACAGTTGGCAGCCCCTATGTTTTGGGGCGGGGCTTTGTTGGTTAGGCAGACCTGGTAGGCGGCACGCTAGCGCCTGGCGGCGGGGCCGCCCGCCCGCTCTAGTCATCGCGGGTCCCCCCCATCTGCCGCCAACGCCACAGTAATCACGTTAGCAACACGAATACAACGCGCACGATTTTATTATGGGTTTGTTTATTCACGCGTCAATGCCGATTAAGAGTATGATCGTAAACTGATAGAGTGGGATCCCAGTCACACCTCAAGACTTCAAGAAAGTATAGATGAAATCGTTTTGAAACTATCACAAGTGTGGGAGCTCGCTCTAGTCATCGCGGGTCCCCCCCATCTACCGCCAACGCCACAGTAACCACGTTAGGAACACGAATACAACGCGCACGTTGTTATTATGGGTTGGTTTATTCACGCTTTAGTGCCGATTTAGAGTATGATCGTGGACTGATAGAGTGGGATCCCAGTCACACCTCAAGACTTCAAGAAAGTATACATTAAATCGTTTTGAAACTATCGCAAGTGTGGGAGCCCGTTCTAGTCATCGCGGGTCCCCCCATCTGCCGCCAACGCCACAGTAACCACGTTAGCAACACGAATACAACGCGCACGTAGTTATGGGTTTGTTTATTCACGCTTTAGTGCCGATTTAGAGTATGATCGTAGACTGATAGAGTGGGATCCCAGTCACACCTCAAGACTTCCAGAGAGTATACATTAAATCGTTTTGAAACTATCGCAAGTGTAAGAGTACGTTCAAATATGTATACTTTCTTGAGGTCCGCACAGCTATCGCACTGCAATTAATTGCAGTGCAAGTGTGTTCTGGCTCTGACGTGATTTTAGGGAAGATGAAATTTAAGGAGCCATAGTATAATATAAACTTGAACACGAATGGATACTTGTTGCTAAAGCTCGTATTTCCCTGGTTTGCAGGGTCGTCATATAGCGGCCGTAATATGCGGTGAATGACGTCACTAGAACGTTGTCTAATATGTAACCAAATTTTACTTTAATACCGATAATAGCCTCTGAAACAGTCCCGCTTTCAACTTAAGCTCTGGTTTATAAAGAAAGCGATACAGTCATATAGCGGCCGTAATATTACGGATGCAAAAAGACAAAAGCAAGAATACCGCGCTCTTTCTCTCTAAACCGCGCACATTTTGTTTACATATAACACAACGTTCTAGTGACGTCACGTCTAGACAGTAGCGGCTGTACCTTAAGTGCACTCGTGCGCTGAACCACCAATTCAATAAAAAATACTAAATATTACATCATCTTTATTTTTAAGTTACCACGTTAATATTTAAATTTTAATGTTCAAAATAATATCACTAATAAAATTTCCAATTGTGACAAACCAATTTAAGCGCTTTGTTAAACTATTAAAGACTTATTGTCCCTGTAAAGAAAAATTCGAGAAAAGAAGAAAAAAGAGCGCACGAGTACTGCTAATATAACTTGCATGAGGTACGAGACAAAAGATAGTTCATAGAAATGAACCGAGCTATGAGTCTGTTCTCGTGCGCCGCACGTGCGAACCAAAGATTACCGAGAGCACCCGATATTTGACGAAATTCGTCGGCCGGGGTATCGGGCGGCGACAACGCGACGGCGGCGGCCATGATGGGTGATCTCTCGTTAACAATATAGTTTCGCTGTATCTGTGACGTGTTAGTTATTGTTTGTTTATATTGTTTTGGTTCTATTCTATACTGTGTGTACTGTACAGCGTGTGTGGTGTGAGTGAAAATGAGTATAAATATTGACTATATTAAAGACAATAACAAAACCTTCATGCGAAACAGCATGTCTCAGGATCGGCTAAATGCACATTCTGTGCTCAGTATTGAAAAAAAATATATGTACAAACAATACCAGATTTTAATAAAAAGTTGATTGAACATTTTGCTTCAGAAAAATGTCGTCGCATTGTTTTAATGTATAAAAAAAACATATTTTATGTTAATGTTTGTTTTATTGCAATTTCTAATCTTAAAACTTAGTGAGCCAGTAAAGCGCACCACCAGTTCGAAGACCCACCAGCCGCCACTGGTCACGTCACCGCTATATAACAACAGCCGATATATGACAAAACCGCCACCTAGGAAATCAGAGCTTTAGCGAATATCAATTCGTTTCTAAGTTTATGTTATACTACATACAGAAATTATGCTCTGCAAGTCACTGCTGTACCGAAATAGATCATTATTATCTACATACATACTCTTAATCGGACTGTTTGTATCTTGAAATGTTACTGTTTGTGATATTTCCAACAAAGGGCTCGACTTTGTATGGCCCTCTCTAAACTTTTGAGCTGTTTTAATATTCTTGACCTTATTAAAAGCAAAAATTTTAATTAGTTATACATAAACAGAATTTTCGGTCTTTTTTAGATGCTGACAAAGAATTTTCTGTGTTTTACTGCAGAATATATTCTACTCCACAGTACAACCAACATACTGAAAGATAGTAATTTAAGATAAGAGGCTACAAAACGCTGTCCCGAATTAATCTTTAAAACAATTTTTACTATTAATTACATAATTAGAGGAGACTATAAATTAATAATACAGACAATAGTTTAGAGAGCGCAAAATCAAGCCCATGATTTTTTTAATAAATACATGTACGCACGCATTGTTATATTTAGAATTAATGGTGAAGGTGACTTGTTATAAATTAATTATTCAATCAATGATGGTTCAAAATGATGACAAGCGTTATGTCTTAGCGATTCACCACACAAGCTTGAGGCGATATTTATAATACAATAAACAATCACTTATATATTATTATGTATTATAGGAAAACACCAAGGAAAATTTAAAATTTAGGTATTTTTTTATATCTGTTATGGCACATTTATAAATAATGTAGATAAGCAAAATTAACCACAACACCAATTTGACCTACCATAAATAGTTTTTTTTTTTATGTTATCCAATAAACGAACATACATAATTTGTTCAGATATTTTAAATATTTATCCATAAAGATGAAAAAAGAGCAGTTAGTATATTTTCAATTTAAAATTAATTAAAAATTTACATTGCTTATAGTAAAGTAAAAATGCAGTTTAAAATATAAATAACATAGAAGGGATATTCAATAATATTGTATTTCTTCTTAACTACTGTGTTGAAAGTAGCTCAAGAGCAAAGTAAAGATTTGGGTCAATTATGGACTCTATAAGTAACGCCCATAACATCCCTTATCGCTTGAAAGTTGACGATATGCCATGGAACCCAATTCGGGATAAACCCTGTGTATTGTTATCCTAAATCTAGAAGTTCTCAAAACAAAAGATAGTGATAGAACGCCAGTTTATATACCATTTACCATAATTATCTCATTTAATCAGAACATACTTCCGATTGCAACTCTGTTATCCACATGAGTTAAATGAATTCTAATAATTGCTTATTAATGCTTTTACTGCTTATGATTCATAAATAAATTAAACTTTATTACGCAGATGAGCTACTAACTTAAACGTGTTCATAGAACAAGCTATACGATTTACGTATTAACTTAGATGGATTAAATATTGATAAACATTCCAATTAAAATGTTATTAACATGAATATTTGAATAACATTAACAAATATTGATATACCAATGTCTAAGCGATAAAAGATGTGAGATAACATTTGTATCCTGCATTATCGCATTACTTTCTTAAGTTTCGACATTGGTTCACTTTAATATAAGATGTCACATAGATATTTGAATTTTTTTTATTAACTTGTAAGCATTACCTATATAACCACTTAAGGACTTGCGCTAAATCTCGAAAGTTTCCTATACATCTCGTCAATTTTTAAGCAATTATCACCCTTAAAAAATCTGTGGTTGTTATCGCATTCGCTTAACTCAAAACTGAAATAAAAGTGTAAATTGCTTGTGTTAGATCTAGAGAGTATACAAATGTTGCTATCATTTTGGAAATATTTTAAGCGATAATCGCCTTAACGGATTTCATCACTTAATTTTATACAATTCTCTGCCCCAAAACTAATAAAATATTCACCTTTAAGGGCTATATTTTATGTAAATGGCAATAGGACTCGATCACTATCAAATGTTATGAGAACTTTTTATTTACTTTGATATATTTTTTACTGTTAACGCTTCATCATATCTGACGGCAAGGAATTAAACCAGATCCTTGGATCCGGATTACGATAATCGGATCTTCGAATCCGAATTATAGTTATTTTAGTCTTATTCCTACATATTGTTTGTATACATACCGTGTTGGTGATGCGACTGCGCTTGTTGCGTATTCGTGGATTCGTCCGCCGTCCGCTTGAAGAAGTTGTGTTGTAGGGCGTAATAAGGCGTCACCCGCTGCTTTGGGTCGTATTCTAGCATACGTAGGATTAGGTCCTGTAAAACGGTCAGATTCGCTTATACAATCTTCTTTATTGGTGTCGATATAAGATTTGATAATATTTTTTTTTTATTTGTAGTAAATGCTATTTTTGAAAAAGTAAATCTTGCAAACAGTATGTGGTTGTGGCTACGTTAGATGCGAAAATTGTGTTGTAGGGCGTAGTGAGGCGTCACCCGCTGCTTCGGGTCGTATTCTAGCATACGTAGGACGCATGATCCCGCACAACTCCCGCACTCTCGACATGCGCTAAGAGGACCACGGTCCTCGTAGTGCATGCCGGGAATCGTTGCAGGAGTATTGTCTGGTTTTTACCAGGTATGGCCCTGCCATTTCTTTGAGCCTTTGGAGCTTGAGGAAATGACAAGGAGGAGCCCACGGAGCCTGTGCGTGCACGTTTCCGGTGCGTAACGATTACATCATGATTTTCCAGACACAAATAAAAAAAGGTCCGGTGAACATGATAGGGATGCGGTAATTTGTTGCAGCACGTATAAAAAAAAAAAGAGTTATTGTCACAAGTTTTGTTACGGCGAATACGAAATGTAGCTCTGGTGGGGTCACCTAGTGCCTTGATATCGCTAATCACTTGCGGGTTACCGCCTAATGGTGTATCTTTCACCCGACGCGGTCTCGTTTTTAGTAAGTAACCCCCACTTCTCGAGCGAAAGGAAGAAAAGTTCCCTATAAACTCGCTGCACTCCCAGGGTGGTTGGGTAAGCGTCTCGCATTTTCCTGACGTTAAGAGCCCTTTCAAATTTTTTGCATAAAATCGGATTTTTTGAGCGCCTCGTTTACCCCCTTAGAAAAGATTTTGACTATTACCGATGGAATTAAACAGTACATTTATTCTAAATACTATTTTCCTTTTTTTGTACTGATCATTCTACTGCAGCTAGTTTACGAAAAAGAACGATAATATGCACAACTTCAAACGCCTCAATCTCTCAATAATGTTCAATAAATTAGATCAAATTAATTACTACGACATCAGAAATATGTTTTTGTTGGAACATAATGTAGTAGAATTTTGATTTTCCATCTCATTAATTATATAAAAAAAAACATCTAACCTCTTTAAGTTTTCCCAAAAAAATAATGCAGGTTTACCTCGTATTTTGATATTCAATTAAATAGAATTACTATCAAAAACTTTCATAAAACTAATAATTACCATACCAGCATTGAACTACTGAAATATGTATATATTTTTATAATTAATACATTAATAATTATTTTATAGGACTCGAAACATCACCCGTAAAATGGAATTTAAACTAGTGCAAATCTACTTACGCGCCGGTCAGCATGGCAGCGGCGTAATTTTGTAAAAGGGCTCTTAAGAAAAGTGGGGGTACTGTAGTTACCTTGAACTTGAGGTAGTCGGAGACGGAGTGTCCGGGCTCGCCGCGCCGCCTCGCCGCCGGCCCGCCGCCCTCCACGCCCAGTATGTCGTGCAGCCGCCGCGTGCCCGGCGCGCGGTACTTCCTGTAACCACTGCGAGAATTACAACAAAGCTCATAATCTATCTATCATTATCATCATCATCAACCTATGCTCGTCCACTGCTCGACGAGATTAGCCGCAAAGCTGACGACCGTTGGAACCGGAAGTGGAGACGACTCGGTAAACATAGTGTAGGACGCTCTGAGACAAGATGGAATGATGACATTCGTAGGCTGGCTGGAGTGGGCTGGATGAGAGTGGAGAAAATCGGGAGCAGTGGCGTTCATTGGGGGAGACCTGTGTCCAGCATCTATCTATACATATAATAAAAGGAAAGACAAAACTGTTCATTGATTTTTTTTAAAGGAATACTTGTGGTGTGAACCACAATCGAAACCGAAGCCAAAAAATTAGTTTTTAGATTTTTTGTCTGTTTGTCTGTATGTATGTCCAGGATAAACTTAAAAATTACTGCATGCATTTACTTCAATTTTGGCACGAATATTACTAAGAAGTCCGGTCAACATATAGGCTACATATTATCACGCTATCACTTACGGGGAACGAGCAGTGAACCTTTATTACTAACTAACTCCACGCGTACGAAGTCGCGATCGCAGGGCGGTCGCGAGTCTCACATACGCCCATTAAGCCGGGTATTCTGCGCCAATTTTCGAACAAAACATGTTATCAAAACAAGTTTTGTCCCACCACCATAAGCTTAAACTGTTAGGCCACGCACCTAGTCGGTTAGCCGACAATGTTATCGTGTTAGCAAACACGAAAAAACGGCGCAGGAGACCCGGATTAATATGTACGACTCGCGACAGTAAAAGGAGAAATCGAAAATTAACGGAAATGCGTGATCTAAACTCGACTGAATAAAAACCGTATATTTAGCACGAACCATTATCAAATTCGAATTGTTAGAATTTGATCTGGATACACATCAATTTTTTATTGGTTTTTCATTCTCGTTACTCCCAATTTGGCGTTGCTGTTCAAGTTTCCATACAAAATTACTCAATCAGATTTCGCATTTGCTTCGTTCGACAAGTTTTGAGCATATTTTGGAGTGTTTTTGTTTAATTTGCGTAAATTCCTTTCCTCGCCCACACGTACATAATAGTTCTACTATAGTGGCGTTTATAACTTGATGGTGGTTGTGAAGTTAGCAGCGAGCATAACTATACGCAGTTTTCGGCTCGATGGAACCCCGCACGCACCTGCATTTCGTTTATTTCGTTTACTTGCGTCGCGACTTGCGTTAACTTCAATACGTCACAATGTTTGCATCGTGCTATACGATAATGAATAATACTCGCGACAATAAACAATTGAATCGAAAATGATACGCCAGGCATTTTATCCCTCTCGCACATCCTGTCAGGAATACAGACATAGAGAAAAACAACAAAATTGTGAGAAAGACGATGCGATTGGGCGTTCCATAGCTCGTGTATATTCTCTTTCTGGACAGTTGTCCATATCATGATTGTGACGCTCAGTCCTGCGATGATGGTTGTTACCAAACCGATGAGAACTGTATAATGCGATTCAAATAAGAATAGGAAAGCCAATGACCTCCATCTGTCAAATGTCGCTTGAAAAGTACGGTTTACAAAAAAATCTCGAAACACTTTTTTAGCACTCAGCTGATACTAGAATAAAAACCAATCATTTTTAAACAAACAATAACAAATGTTGATAATTAATATTATCTGTATTTTTTTTTCACTTATTGAGTATTGGCTATGATTGGTTTGGTAACCTAAATCGTCAACCAAATGTCACTTTATGTTGCGTTCAGAAACTCGATTTAAAACTTTCGTTTACATAAAGGATGCATGTTCGTATGTGACCTGCAAGATTATTCATAACTTCTCCGGCGGTAATACAGAGATGAGCGAAATTAAAGAGCTAGATTCTGATTAATGTTTTTTTTCACATAGTCTTAATAAAGAAATACTATTAAAAATCGGTTGTGTTCTTTCTCAAGTAAATAAGTTTTATTAAATAGCAAAAATTTTTTGCTCTCTCTACCTATTTGGTTTGAATTGACAGCTATGACGTCAAAATATGGCGCCCAGTCGGTCCTATTGTTAGTTGAATCGCATTATAACTTTGCTATCCTTATGACTAAAATATACAAGATTTTTTCATGACTAATTAAAGCTCATTCTGATTCTCGCTGCCGAATACAGTTCAGACAAAAAAAATCGATCGATATTTATCAAGACAAAAAAAGGATAAGTACATTATTCCTAAAACAATTAGTAAAGTTGATTCCAGAAACTTACCTGCCATCTTTTCCATTGACCTTTTTTAATACGTAGCCACCGCCTTCCGCTGCTGGTAATTTGTCGAAAAACTTCCTAGTTTTGTGAGCCTGAAATAATAAAACCATACATTATAATAAATTTAAAAGTATGAATGTTTCTCAAGGACACTATTTTTGTAATGTTATGTCTAAAGAATGAATATCAAATCGTTTATGATTATGGAGTAGGTTTTATTTAATACACTTTGGAATTGTATTACATTTTGGGATAACTGATTTGTTATCCCAAAATGTAAAAGAAAAAACTAAAGATAAGCGAAAGAAGTCGCTTATATGAAATAAAAATGGGACAAAAACACCGCTTGCGTTTCTTGCCAGTTCTTCTCAAGTAGAAAGTTTCACGCTGTGGACTTGCTAATCGATGGCATAGCTTCCAACAACCTAGGTTGAATAGAAGTTTGAGGGATATTTACTTGATCGAACAAATGATCGAGCGGCATGCCCCGTACCCCTACGACCTTCTTCATCTATTCGACTTGCTCTTGTTTATTTCATCACCTACCTATTCTTCTCAATTGCAAGGTCTCCGGTCGTAGACATACTAACCAATGGCAAAACTCTTTGTAGGATCACATTGGGATGACCAGTGTAGGAAGGCTAAAGGGGAAATCTTTCATTGAGCTGGGTGATATAAGCTCGAGGACCGCGGCCCGACCGATATCTTCATCACCAAACCTTCGAATTTCTCTAGCGCGATGTAGGCTTTTTATACTATTGAGTGCGGCGCCACTGGCGCCATCTTTTGACAAGGCGAGTGATTTCTTTCTCCATTAGGTATATGTGGGGCGTGTAGATGTCGCGGCCACACTCTTCAACTTTTATAACCGCCTGTTTAAAGACATAGAAGTTCAAAGGTCACTCACCTGATCCAGCAAATGGTCGGGCGGCATGCCCAGCACCTCCACGATTTTGTTCATCTGATCCACTTCGTTGGCACCGCTGAAAAGCGGCTCGCCCGTGTGCATTTCCACGAGGATACAACCCAACGACCACATGTCTATCGCCAAGTCGTACGGGACCCCTAATAACACTTCTGGCGACCTGTAGAACCTTGACTGTATATATTGGTATATCTGGAAATAAAATGTGGCAATTAGGTATGAAGTCTTAATGTTTCTGGGGTGCTTGGGTGCGTACATCAATGAGCTAACGGAACCCCTATAGCAGCTATACTCTAAGTGTGTTCCGCGGAACCCTAGGGTTCCGTGATACCTCTGTCGGGGTTCCGCAAGAATTTAGAAATAAAAAAATCAAAACACCTCTCTCTGGTCGCTCCGCGGCTGTGCGGACTCCGCGGCCGCGCGGAGACAAAACGCTATGAATGTTATTTATTTATTTATTTGTATTTGTATAAGCTTGTGTTACATTAGCTGGTACAATATCTCATAAGTTTGGTCTCAACAATTTTATACTTGTACAACGCGTTCGCTCTAAGTTTGCCGGTCTGTGGAATGCGCGTACCCTCCCCCACGTGACAACAAAACTTATAATGTGTCATAGTTTTACCCAAATATCTAACGTACACAATTCTTATTGTTACAATTAAATAAAAAATTTCGAACGTCATACACTCATACCTATCGCCAGCGGCAAACTTAAAACGAGCGGGTAGGTATACTTGTAAGCGCTCAGTCTCTTTGATAAAAGCCGCCTCTGAATTAGACGCTATAGTTGTCAACTAGCGACTTTCGTCTCTAACTTCAAAGGATAAAGTCGATATTGTTTACAACGCTATTTTTAAATTTCTGTTTTTATTTTTGCTTTTTGTTTATCAAAGGTGCCGACTCGAGTATTTTCGAGAATATTTGAGATCGAGTCTAGGACTAAGTATAAAAGCGGCGATCGCGCGTTGGCGTCGTCAGTTGATGATTAGCGTTCGGAGCGATAAGTTACTACCTACTTACAAGCTCGCTAGCGAGAAACTGGTGTTCATTGTTTTACTGCCTGCTGTATTCTGTTGTCTCAGTTTTATACATTTCTTCCCTGTAGGTTCTAAATTTAGTCTCTTATACGCAGTAACGATTGTGCATTATTTAAACCCCACTATCCTGACTTGTAACATTATAAATAAAGAAGAATGGAACGTTGGCTTAAAGGTGTTAAACGTGTTCCAACAACATCTTCTAATGACGCTGAATGTTCAAAAGCAATGCGCGCGGAGAATTTAGCAATCACCGATCCAGAAGATGATGCCACGAGTGCCACGACGTCAAGCTCGACGGTTTCAAAGACGAAAAAAAGGAAGTATGATGAATCTTATATCAGTTTCGGATTTGTTGATTCCAACGGCTCACCTCTCTGCATGCTCTGTAGTAAACTGCTTCCTAATAGTTCCATGGCACCTGCCAAATTGCGTCGACATTTAGAAACCGTACACCCCGAGACTAAAGACAAGAATAAAGAATTTTTTGTTCGCAAAAAAGATCAGTTATTAGAAAGTCAAAAAAATATGATGCATGTAACACAAACTACCAACGAAAAGGCCACGGAGGCATCATACTTAGTTAGCTATCGCATTGCACAAGCAGGTGAAGCGCACACTATCGCTGAGAAATTAATAAAACCATGTGTATTAGACATAACAAAATGTATGCTTGATGAAAAATCTGCAAAGCATCTTTCTACTGTTCCGCTATCAAACGATACTGTTTCACGACGAATCCATGATCTGGCAAGCTACGTCAAACAAGAACTAGTTACACGTCTACAAAATACACGATTCGCTTTGCAAATGGACGAGTCGACTGATGTCGCTGGTTTGGCTATCCTGCTGGTTATTGTGAGATATCCATATAAAAGTTCTTTTGAAGAAGACATGCTTATGTGTTCATCGCTGCTTACAAACACTACCGGGGAAGAAATTTTTAATAAAATAAATATATTTTTTGAAGAACATAATCTCAGTTGGAACAATTGCATTGACATTTGTACAGATGGGGCCAAGGCGATGACAGGTAAAACAGCAGGAGCAGTGTCACGAATGAAAAATAAAGCGCCTAATTGTAGTTCCAGTCATTGTATTCTGCATAGACAAGCACTTGCGATGAAGCAAATGCCGTCTAATCTAAAATTAGTTATGGATGAAGCGGTAAAAATAATTAATTTTATCAAATCACGACCACTACAATCCCGATTGTTCTCATTATTGTGTGAAGATTATGGCAGCAAACATAAAACACTGCTGCTCCATACAGAAGTGCGATGGCTGTCTCGGGGAAAAACTTTAACAAGGCTATTTGAACTTAGAGCCGAGTTACAAATGTTTCTTTCAGCAGATACTTCTTTTAATTTGAAGGACCGTTTGTATGATAAAACTTGGTTGTTCCGATTGTCTTTTATGGCGGATATCTTTCAAAAACTTAACGAATTAAATTTATCATTGCAAGGTAAACAGACAACAGTGTTTCAGGCCTATAATAAAATAACTACTTTTAAAAGAAAATTAGATTTTTGGATCATTTGCATTGGTAAGAAAGAAATAGAAAGTTTTACGTTACTCACTGAGTTTGTTAGCGAAAACGACTCAGAAATGTTTGAAGATAATGTGTTTGAAGAATTGGTCCAATATCTCAGTTCGATGCGCGCATCTTTTGAAAAGTATTTTCCCGAAGAACACAATACAAAAATTAAAGTGAACTCCTGGATTCATAATCCTTTTTTACCCAACTTGGAAAAGCCTGAAAACATGTCAAATGAGATATATGAATCTCTTTTAGAAATGTCATCAGACACAAGTATGGAGTCATTGTTCAAAACGACGCCTCTTAATGATTTTTGGTGCAGAATCCAAGATGAATATGCAATGCTTGGCCAAATGGCTCTGGATATTCTTCTCCCGTTCCCAACTACATATTTGTGCGAAACAGGATTCTCTACCTACGCAGCCACGAAAACAAAATATCGCAATAGACTGGACGCCGAAGCTGATATGAGACTCCAACTTTCTTCCATCAAACCTGATATCAAGCAATTGATGAAAAATAAAAAACAGTTTCATACCTCCCACTAGTTAGATTTTTTCTTTTTTAATGTTTTCTATTATTGTCCTTACCAAGTGGTGAAGTAAATAATAATTAGTAACGGATACATTGTACTTTTATTATGCTGATTAATATAGAATACACTTATAAAAATAATTGTTTTATTGTAGGGTTCCATCAAGTATTTTGCTTCCCAAAAGGGTTCCGTCATTTAAAAAGTTTGAGAACCACTGCCCTATAGGATCACTCGGCTATCTGTAACAGTCGATTTTCTCGGAATCTACTAGCCCGATCAAGTTGAAATTTGATACATACATGTGCCTGATGTGACATGGAAGTTTAAAGTAAATAAATAAATTCTGAATACGAGGTTTACTTTTGGGAAGTGAATTAGAAAGCTGTTGGCCCGTCTTTTTTCTTCTTTTGGATCGATTAGCTGGAGTGGAAACTTTCTTCTCTTTCATAATTTTAGTCTTCTCTGTTGTAATTTTGTTACTATTTAAATTAAGAAAAAAAAAACTAACAAACAAAATCTTGTAATTTTCACAGTATTTTTTCAATTCAAATAATTAAACATACAATTTATAATGCCCATTGACGCAATCTCATCGAGTAATCATTAGTTCGTAATACAAATAGACTAACGTAAATAACGAATAATGTTTCTACGATCGACCGACACTATCATATTGACACGAGTGGACACAGACACGTGGACTTGGGCCCGCCATTGACACAATTTGTTGCCAAGTAGGACTTACATCCAATAAGATAATAAGTACAACCACATGAGTAAAGAGGGCACAGAGGCAAAGCTTTTATGCAGTGCGCGTGTGTGTGTGAGCACTGGTACATTGAAGAAGCCAATAGAAACATTTTCCGCGTAGGTATCGTGTGAGGCGGGTCGATACATGCCCTAAAATATTGTCACAAACGCTCTCGAAACCAAACCACGATAATTCTAGAGGCAGAATTTACCAGAACAACGCGGATCAAGATAAAGGTCGAGTGGTGCGGCTCATTCTTATATGAGCCTTATGCAGTACGGCGTAAGGGATAAAGTGCAACGACATCTGCACTTGTTTACAACTTATGCGCGTTACCGACGTAGGTACAAGTAGGTACTCCGCACTCGCGGGTGCTAGTTAACTCTCAATTTAACGGGACTTTTCTAGAATGCGTCGATTGGCATATATAAACACGATCAGCACCGCGCTGAGACAGTAGAGTTTCAACAGCGATTTCGGAACGAATACAAAGGCGATCAAAGTACAAGTGTTCAAGTGCGATTGTTTATTGTATAGTGAAGTACAGTGTTTAATGAGTGTATTGTGATTAACATTGAGTGTCAACTGTGTGGTGAATAAAGTACTGTCAAGCGTGAACTGGCATATAATTTCGAACCCCATCCCGACACGCACCAATATGGTTGAAGGAAGCGATGGCTGGTTCATGCGTCATGATCGTAAACTGGTGCTGCCAGCTGAGCCGAGTCAGCTCTATACTACTTAGCTATCGAAATGTTATCTAATTATTCCTAATATAAACACTAATTTTATTAATACTGAATGACACAACAATCGTGAGTAGACGTTGTATTTATGTAAATGTTGCTGAGTTATAAGAGACTTCTGATAATTTCTGATGAGTTTCTTGCGCCCATTCTTCTCATCAGCTAAAAGATGTCCTGAATGGGGGGTAGGAAAAAATATTGGACGATTCAAAAGAGCTTTTAATAAGTAAATTTTAATAAAGTATAATTTAATTTCTTTTCATTGCTTTTCATTACACGACAGGCGTCAGTGCTCACTCACACAAGCGTTGCCCCTGTGCCTTCTTTACTCTACTCATGTGGTACAACGGCGCGGCGGCGCGTCGCAATAATTGGCGATAACCCGCCGGTACTGAATCACACGCCCCCCGTGTGATTTATCTGCGCAATTAGCCTACGGCTGGCACTCACTTCATAAATCGGCATATTCGTTCAAAACCGATGTTCCCTAACGGTATAGCTCTTTGGTAAAGGATGTTTTCAAAAAAAAATAGTGTACTTATTTATTTATTTATTCTTTATTACCAAAATACAGTAAATAAGTACTTAAATTTTTACAAGTACGAAAAAATATCTTCAACTTAAGAGGATGCTTAATTGTATAAGTACTAATACATATTAAAGTGTATAGAGATCAAATAGATTTTTGCAATATAAAAATTGACAATTTGGCTTTTTTCTTTTATTCTTAAATATAAGTTATCAATATCAACATAACTACCCCTAACTTTGTAAAAATGAAGAATAGTAGTTGTGGTAAATTAATCTACGTTAATGATAAAGGCGGCATACTTTGCTTATTTTCTTGCAACCATTGCAAAAACCAAGGTAGCCTTTCCCTTAAATGTATGTATCCTTGAAAACAAACTTGTTTTATTCTGAACACTCATATTTGACGTGAAAGACTTTGCCCCCCAAATTTTTTTGCCATTGCTATGGCATGGCATTAATTGAAGTTTTGCCCACAAACTAAGAATTTCCCTATAAGTTTTTCTTACTTTCAAGAAATTTAAAGAGTTTCTGTTAAATTTACCTATTTAAAATGTGTTTTTTACTTAATACTTTTTCATCCTCAGATGATGTCAAATTTCAAAGATCTTTGATCCATATTAATAGTTTCCTTGTTATTATAAGGTCCTAAGTACAACTACGCATTCTCTAAAAGAAAATTCGATTAATTTGACATTTCAAGTAAATACATTTGAGACTCGTATATTTTTTAAAATTCGATTAATTTGACATTTCAAGTAAATACATTTGAGACTCGTATATTTTTTAAAGCTTGTTTTTAAAAGAACGAGGGTAAGAAAGTATAAACAAGTAAGTACCTATATCGATTAAAAAAACATCCGTTGACCAACGTTCGAGCTTTTATTAACACCAAGGCAAACAAGTGTTTCCGTATCCAATAACAGTTTGACGTAAAAAAGATGAAATGTATTGACTACTTATTAAGTTTTGTTACTAAGGCCGACCTTTTGCCCATATCAAATGTTCAATCGTGCGCGAACTGGAGAATAACTTCACAAATGTTATTAATGATTGTCTTTTCTAACCAAATATAAACACGATCAAACTCTTTTCTGGTAGGAAAGACCGGTCAAGAGCGAGTCAGACTCGCGCACGAAGGGTTCCGTATCATCATTATCTTTACATCATTAGACACTATAATATAATATCGAGCAAGAAGCGGCAAAAAATCACGTCTGTTGTGTGGGAGCCCCCCTTACATATTTATCTATATTTCAAGTGTTTACCAGTAGCCGTTATTAATATAGATCAAAAAAGCCTTTGTTGTATGGGAGCCTCCCTTAATTTTCTTTATTATAATTTTAGTATTGGTTGTTATAGCGGCAACAGAAATACATCTGTAAAAATTTCAACTGTCTACCGTATAAGACGGTTCATGAGATAAAGTCTGGTGACAAACAATGGAGTATTATTAATAATAAGGTCCCGTGTTTACCCTTTGGGTAGGGAACTCTTAAAAAGCATTATGGACCTAGTAACTGAATCTACTCAAGGCTACATTAAAGTTAATACTAGGTGCAACAAATGTCTAAAGGCTATGACTGGCAGGCTAATACTAGTTCATCACCTTTTGACATAAAAACACGACTGACCAGAGCTTTTGGTAACTTACTCATGCAAATATTAACCATCCAAGTTTTGGATGGAAATTCAAATGAGCTTGTACACTACACACCAATGAAATGTTCTTGGTGTCCCAAAAAAATTACTGTCACAGGCAGAAATTAACTACCTAATTAATATTTTTATAAGTGCATATTACCAATAACCATCGATTGCTTTTATTATTTTCTTTCTAACTATAAAAGTCAAGGCGTATCCTTGCTTCAAGCCATATCAAAAGTTCTTTTGATGAAAACGCAATGAAAATACGATGAAATCGTTTGAAAACCGTAAACTTTAGAGTAGTGTTTCCCGTAACACATTCTACATAGTTGCGGGTTTGTGTTGACTGTAAACGGACTCACCCTTTGACCTAGTTGACACGAACTCCCGAAGTCGACAATCTTGATTGCTGACCTCTTCGGGTTGCATAGTAGTATATTCTCGGGTTTAAGATCACAGTGAATTATATTTAGTTCTGAAAGAGAAATAAACGTCAGATAAGACCTAGTTTTTTATTACTGTTCTTTGTCGGAATGGAGAAATGAAAAATCATAAAAAGCGGGAAAAATCTAAGAAAGCTCAATTTGGAAAAACCATACTGAGAAACGAAAGAATATAGCTCAATATGGTCTTAGTTGCTACGATCGCGTTATAATGTTGGAGTAAATAAAATTGCTGTGGTTTTATGTGATATTAAAAGATATATCATTGACAAAAAGTCTTTCCTCGGCTGGGAATCAAACCCTGGCCGCCCGTGTGCATGTGTGCTTTCTACCACGGATGCTTGTTGATACGGAGTCTGTTTATTTTTATAAAATAAAAGGTGGAATGCGACATGCTAAAGATGAACAAAAAAACGACGTGTAAAGATGTGGTAATAAAAGTTTCTTTTTAAGACTGATAAGTCTCAATAAGCGGGCACTGTTGTCAAACAAATCCACTCTTTCAAAAATAACCACTTTAATAACGCATTAAATTAAATCTGTTTAGTTTTTGTCATTGTCCATTAAGTTATTTTTTCATAATAACTGAAGCGATTATTCTACTTAATCTTTTCGAAATCTTTATGAAAACGTAGAAGAAAAAAATTCTTAATTCCCGCAGTTTCATCATCAGCCTGTTAATGTCCCTTTTTGCAGGGGCACAGGCCTTCCCTGTGGATGGATTAGGGAGATCCCGCAGTTCAATTTAATCTTAATAAAAAGTCATAATCAAATGATCCGGTTCGTTCCTAGACAGGTTTTGACCGCTCTTTTGCACAATATGGATAAGACTTTTATTTAAATTATTATCGCAAGTCTTTTTGATATTATTAAATACAGCCCTAAGAGTGAAAAAAATTATTTTACATTTGATTTTCTTGTCTTATTCATTGTATGTGTTATCTATACTTTTTGGTCTCCCTGGTAATTAGTAAAAAACCCCATCACTCAGTCGTAGACCAGGAGTCGGTTTCAAAAATACCCCCAAATCCATGTCACGTCACTATCGACTAACGTCACTTAGAAAGGTTATATGACGGCGAAAGTTGTATTGCTCGAAATTAAACAATGTCGCAATCGCAAGCGGTGCCTCACCAACCCGATAAGGATTTCCCAATACTTGGTCGCGACAAGGCACCGCTAATAAACTGCGGCGCGCTATAGGTCATTGTTTAGACATAATAATATCTGCATAATTGTGCTACCGGATTCAGGGCAGTTACGACCACCGCAGTTCCTAGTTGCGACACTGTTTGCTTGCAACGAACCTCTTTGCTAATGCAGATTCGACGCTGAAAGATCCAATTACGTCCGCATCGACTTTGTTATGCAATCTCATGTATGTTCCAATTTATATTGCTGATTCCACCGCTCGTGTCAGTAGTTCTGAACAAGTGCATGTTTGTGGATTTACATTTTCATGTGTTGTTTAAAGTTTTCGTTTTGTAATGAGTCATTATTTTGAATATTATTAGGTCGGTGACGAATTCTGATGCTATTGATTATGAAAGCGAATCGAGTGCCGCAAACGTTTAAATAACTTTTTGATGTTTTGATTCGCAATGAAATAACGTGTGTATAAAATGTTTATTCGTTATTCACTTACTGAATCGCGAGGTTTAAGTATATTGGGGATGTATTTATTATTAGGTGTGAATGTTGTGAAAACTCTAGTAACTCAATACTCGATTTCGTCACCTACTTAAGAGTATTTCTTATTATCCGACTTACGATATTCAGAAATTTATCATTTTTATTATTAATGTATTTTAGGAGCTCGACGGCGCAGACCAAGCGTTAGCGTATTTGGTCTGCGATCGTGGAAGTTAAGCAACTTTCGCAATGGCCAGTTATCAGAATGATGACCAATAATTTGCAATTTACACTGGGCCCGCTTAGTGGTTCATATTCCATCCATAGAGAAGGCCTGGGTCCCAGAATCGGGGAAATCAATAGGTTGATGATAATCAAATCTATTACTAAAGTATTAGAGAACAGAATGGCATGCACTCACCAGGTCGACTAAGGAACATTGACGCTGTGCACAGCTGCTGCGCGAACTTGCACTTAAGGTTTAGTGACACGCCGCGGAAGTTAGTGTTGCGAATTATCTAATCTATTAGAAAACAATTAAAGAACAATATGGCATGCACTCACCAGGTTGACTAAGGAACAGTAACGCTGTGCACAGCTGCTGCGCGAACTTGCGCGTGAGGTTCAGCGACACGCCGCGGAAGTTCGTGTTGCGCAGCAGGTCGTATAAGTTATACGACAACAGCTCGAACACTAGGCACAAGTGTTTCCGCCACATAAAGTGACGTTTCAGTTTTACTGTAACAAACGATAAATACGTGGTTATCCCAAATGCTGTGCTATAAGAGGTATCTGAAATACGTATAACAAGTAACTGCTAGTTTCATACTGATCCATACTTCTATACTAATCTTTACTAATATTATAATCCCGCAAAAGGACATATGGTAGTTTTTGTCGTTATAACGTCTTAATCGATAATTAAGTAATTGATGAACACCGGCTGCGCGCACGAAAAAGTGTCACGTTCCGCCTGAGCCTGAGCGTGCAAGCGAGAGCGCGGAACAAGCGATAGAGAGGCACGATCGGCCCAATCGTCAGCTTGTACACATTTAATTCTCTTCTTCCGTGACGTCAGAGTAAGCAATAACGCAATTTTTCATCAATGTTTCTTTATGACGTTATCATGTAAAACCATCTTCCGTAAATCGATTTTACAGACAACCAATTTTTATCCTAGAATTCACTATGTAAGGAAGTGAAAAAGGGGTGGAAATTTGTATGAGTTACAATTTTTTTCACACAAACGAAGTCGTAAGCAACCGCTTGTATTAATAAAATATGTGCCAAAACAACGAGGTTTGAGACAAAAGTAAAGTAATCAATTAATATAAAAATCTACAATTTAAAAAGTGTATCTATAGCAGTGATACTTAAATATTAATCTCTTGCATCTTTACTATGTCGACACCGCAATGAAAATGCCATGAAGAACAAACGTTTATCAACTATTCATGTGAATCGTAACTATTGAACCTATTATTCTAGTAAAAAACTATTCGCAGGAATAGAAAGGGTAATAATAAGTGATATAAACGTAGTTATCCTGCTTAACTTCTTCCGCTATCGCCTTCAAAGTTAAAGAGATTGTCAAATATGATATGCCTAACTGAATCTAACCACCAAACATATAAAGAAAAGTGAAAGGAGTAAAAGTTAGACAATCAAGCCCCATTTTGTATTTAAAACAGCTAAAAAATTGTCTATTGATTTATTTATTTAGATAAATTAAAATCTCAATTATAACCGTTTTTTTAATGGGACGTGAAAGTTAATACTTTAAATCAGAAAAAAACGGCGACTAAACAATAAAATGAGATATTCACCTTTAATAAACAAAAGGTACGTTAAAAAAAAGTTTTTACGGGCCCAGTTCCCGACGTTTGGCTTACCGCTTACCGGACATGCTATGCCAAAATTCCAAGTCGAACGTTCCTAAAAACGCTTCATAAATGTTACTGTACAAAAGCTGCAGCTGACTGGGGTCATCGAACCAATAAAATGAAATAATCGTAATGAAATCGGGGTTCTAATTTTCCTCCGCCACATTCTCTGGCAAAATATAAATATGTAGCGTCACTCACCTATATAATACTTATTTTCGGCATCTGCCCTGTTCATCATTTCTAGTAACTTGACTTCTATTTGTGCCTGGTTTAGGAAAGGTTTCTTATTCTTAATTATTTTAATTGCTACTTGACACTGCTCCTCGTGGTCATACGCTTTCACAACCTGGAAATATAAAACAGTAAGATGTTATTGACATGTCATAATAATAATAATTTAAGTACGAGCGTATAAGTAAATATATGTGTAATGTAATCGGTTTATTTTTAAAGCATATCGAATATTTTGCTTAAAATCCTACTATGCACTAGGCGTATTTATCGCACAATGTTATGAGAAACATAGTCGCATATGGTAAACATATGCATAGAAGATATCCCACTCGTAAAATGTGCGGTAAATAACTGTTTATGCATTAAGTAGTACTGTGACATTTTCAAGTGTTAAAATTATTAAACCTCTTCGTGATCTTTGTATCAAATTTTGTAAACTCCCTTTTACAAAACTTTAGACTTGGTTCCTTTTCTGATTAAGACGATCAACTATTATGTGTGTATATCATAACAGTCAAAATATTTTATAACTGTATCTAAATGCTACTGATTTATTGCAATGATCTCTGGATCAATGACAAAGAATCTTTAAAAGCTTCAATACCGCATTTTTGACTTCGGTACCTATATCTAAGTCAGTCTTCTAAAAGCCAAATTGCAAGCACTTAATTCGATAAATAAAGCGACAAGCATAATTTTAAAATGCAAGAAAACCCAACAAAGAGCTCTGATATGACAAGGGTTACCAGCTTTTTTTCTATCAAAAATAAATAGTATTTTCGATGCTGTTACCTCTAAAAATATAGTAGATGGCAAAAAAAATGGAAAAGATATACCTAGTATGTGTTTAAAATATTTACTTTATTTTTGAAATGGCATATATTTTTGCTGCTCTATGCCTTAATAATTCATTTTTTATTTTTAAGAAAACTTTAGCAGGCAAATCTGCTTTAAGCAAAATATAGTAGTTTTACCTACTATATATTTTTAGTTATGTTGTTAGAAATATTAGTATTAACTATTAGTACTTGATCCCCTAATATAGTAGGGTTGGCAACCCTAGATATGACTGGTCTATTGTTATTGTACCCGAGTATCTACCGTTGCCGATCTAGCCTAAGACAGAAACATCTGCGCCGATTGGCTAGGCAGTTGGAAAGGGCAGCCTACCTTCAATGAATTAAAGGTAGTTGCAAGGAAACTGACCTGTCCAAACGATCCCTTCCCGATTGGTGATGAGATCTCGTACCGATCGAGGAACTTTTCGCCCTGCTTGATAATGTAATCATGATTGTCGTCGTCGTAGCCGTCGTTGTACAGCTTCCGCTCCTTCTTGTGCGAGCCATCCTCGCCCAGGTACTGTTGCGCTCTCCGCTTCTTCTTCGCGTAATATACCTGTTGAATAACAAACAAAATGTTATATTGGGTTGTTTCATTGCATAATAACGGAAAACCGATTGCTAGAAATGTGTTAGTCAGGTATGCGCGTGAAATAATGAATAAGCAATAGAGAAAGTAACCATTTCGTTTTGCAATAATCTATTTCCATAAAATGGTTCTCCCATTATAATAAAAATAAATGTTTTGTGTGCTCGTTTCAATTTATTCATAGGAGCATTTAATGAATCATTACTTTTTTTTATCTGCCACGCTGATCTGTGACCGGACGAAAAACTTTTATCAGCAGCTTGTCAACAGAGACACGTTTTATTTCTTTTTACGTAGGCGAAAGAGCAATCAATGCTCTATTTCATTGACGGTATTTCAGTATTTACTAAGGCTTACTGCAAAAATGAGTGATGAAATAGAAAATGTTATTGGCTACAATATCATCCTGTTTGGCATTAACGATGAAAAATTGTAGGATAAGACACCAACAGCCGCATCAACCGTATTGCTCTATGGATACAAAATTTTACTTATATTAACAGTTTGGCCCAAACATTGAATACCTAATGTAGCCTTGTAATTTCTTCTATCATACATAACTTATATGTTAGAAGAAATATATTTATAGTGATGTAATTATAAGCTTATTTCAAAATAAATCCTAAGATGAAAAATGAAGATTTGCTTAAGACATAATATTCATTTCTCTGGCGAAACCTAAAGTAAACATGGCACAGCCTGGCCTTATTTAGACTTTACAATAAAAACAACTTGCTCAAAATGTAGGCTAGACAAAACAGAATTTTACAATAACATAAAATTATTCAAAACCCAATGTCAATAACACTTTATCGACGACTTGCAAAAATTACAAGTAGAATAAAAATCTCTAGGTGCAGCAGCACAATAAACATGCCCAAATTCGCAGGAAATGAAGGATAGACGAGACGAGCGGAGCGCGGGAATTCGGCTGACGGACGTTGACCCAAATATGCGGTTGACATTGATCGACGACGGGTCGCGATATGCCGCTTATACCAACCGACCTATGATTATACTTGTACAAAACATTTGTAGCGAACACGGCAGCGTGTATCGCTGTGTGTTTTTAGTTTAGCATTATGGCATCGGAGCAGCGAGCGACGCGCGTATAGGACACTGGTAGGTAGGAAGTTCGTTGCTACGGGTTTTTACGGCGTGTCGCTAGACTCACCTAGATGTTATGAGTCACCGTGTTGTTGCCGGCAGGCGACTGACGTGAATGTGCCGCTGCCGTGTGAGTGAATGTCCGCCGTAACAGACATCGATCAAACAATCAACTGAGATGCTATTCAAAACGCGTTCGGCTTTTTTATCTAACTATAAACTAGTATAATAAATGTAAAGACACAAACACTGATCAAGTAATCCATTATTTTAAAATAAATGCACTAGTGTCTGGCTTCCACTGTTAGGTAATTTGTTTGTTGTGTTTTACTTCAAATGTTGCCAGCGAAAACAACCATGTTTTTTCTTTGAAGTGAAAACTTAGAAGGCGTTTCGGGCATTTTTTGAGATGACTTTTTCTGTATTTATTTTTGTTTACATTTTGCTTCTTTGTTTTGAGATTTGAGTTTTCACTCGGGAGTGCCACCGCCATTATTTTAATAAACAGGAATCAAATACACGTAGAGATAAATAGACAAGTGCCATGCTTAAGTTAAAAATATACTTAACATTACTTAATCATATCTCTAAGATTGTGAGATAATAACCCCGATTAACATATTACTAATTATAATCATAACTACCCACATGCCTGCTAACCAAGCGTTCATTAGGCAGTAATTAATAGTAACAAGTACGCCACCGTTCATTTGTAGCGTCATCACATGACCTAGTCTGAAAGCCGGCCTTTACATAACTCTGGATGTGCAACACAGCAATAATATTGGCGAGTGCACAGCATTCGCAGCGTGCCGGTGCGGAAGCGTCGCATATCGACGCGCAAACGATAACCCAAATTTCTGACGACCTACATATTAGTGTATTTTACAGGCGACCGAGCGAGTCCCCGACAACCGGCGAAGCTTCGCCCCGTAACGTGACACACACCTACCTACCTATACGTTATCAAAACGCGCCTATATTTATTTGTTCAGATAAGTGTATCCTATATTTTCTTTTTTGCTTTCTGATTAGTGATACCAATATGTACTGTGTCGGTGAGGGCATCGTCAAGCAGGATGACTGTGGTGGTTGAAGGAGGCGGCCGCGTGGTGATTCTTGGTGTGGTGGATGAGTGGTATGGTGTGGTGAGGCAGGCCAGTGACCGCGGCACGTGGCCGCGAGATGAGCGCGTCGTCGGGCCGGGGAGAGACGGCGCGCGGCGGCTGTCATTGATTTTCCCCGCTTCGCCCCTACCCCGAGCTTGGCTCCCGCCCCACCGCGTCTCACCCACTTCCAGCGCCCGATAACGAGGTTAACGGGCGACGTGAGCGTCTCCTAAACTTTAATTATACCCGTACACCCGTCGTGCATGTTTAACCCGGCCTCTATTCAACGTTTTGTTTGCAGCGCACCTGATAGCAGACGTGATCCGTTGTATGGTCGACGGTTAGATGGTTAATGAACGAACTCTGAGATGGAAACAAGAGTACGCCTGCTCAGTCGGCTGGTTGGCCGCTAGCGCAGTTGTAGACTCACTCATCTAATTATATTTGAACTCGCAACTTTCATAAGTAAATTGACGCTACACTTTAGAACAGTACAGATTGTGCTAAATTAATACTGTCTTAGAATATTCAATATCAAGGTATTACGTGTTGTTAGTGTAAGTATTTCTTTTTATTCCTTTTGACTGGATAGCTCAATTATGTACTAACTTTATACTAGTCTATTCTCCTAGTTCTCATTGACATTTTAAATGTAAAAATAGATAGAAGAAAGAAATGACACCCAAGCAAATGAATTCGATAACCACCATATAAAGTCAATATTATTTCAAAGAACACACGGCTCACATTATTCAACATTTTAGGGCGTCAAATGAGCTTGTTTTCGTTACAACACAACGGGATTTAAAGATGTTGGAATACGGTTTATTTTGTTATTTCAATGTGTCATTTCATAGTTACGTCTGTCTGACTGCGCGGATCCACACAATGTTTAAGGTGCTATTCCGATCTTGGCTGCAGCGACAGCAAGTAGCTCGGCGGCGGATGCACGACTGGTTTATATGCATTTGTATGATATATACATTTACTGCTGCAAATGCACGTGCTATCTGCATCTGCACCCTGCAGATGTAATCGGAATAGCACCTTAAACCACAATTATGCAGTAAGTCCAGCAAAATAGAATAGACTACCTTCCAAACCGATGTTTTAACAGCGGTATGTTAGCTCTATATGATTTACCGTTTGCATGTTAATTACCATAATAAGAATGTCGCATAAACTATAGCTTTGGACATAAATAAAACTAAATACAGTCGCGCCGACCGTCCCGCGTCGCCATTGAAATTTTGCAAAGAATGTCCTATTCGTAATATTGGTAATTACTCTAATCAACTTTCCAGTTTATTAAACTTGTCGAAGAAACATAAGTTGTGAAGAACAGTCCCACGCTTTAGTGGATGAGGGCTTTGGTCATAATTAAGATAACAATCTAGGTAGGAAGTTATAATAAATGACTCTTTCAATAAAAACCATGACATTAATGGGCTGATACAAAAAGTATATTACGCTTTTTTATCGTGTGAAATGCTCGATTTAGTTTTTCTTTATTTATTGTTAAATTAACTTTTACATTGCACCTAACCCAGATGTGTTAAGTGAAGGTTGAAGTTACTTTTTCTATTTGCTATTCCCGTACCTATGTTTATAGGTTTGTTTGAGGAAGTACTGTTTCAAAAAACCATGTTCAAAGTTGTGATGTCCGAAGTAATTTTTTTCTTAAATGGAAAGCGGTAAATAAGTAACTTGATCAACGCACTTCTGGCAAAGCACAACGGCAAACTTTAACAAGTCCAAACCTAATCCTGAATTTTGGATAGATTAGAAAAAGAAGATGTGGCTTACATTAATAAGAGTATGCCTTGATGTTTTGGGCCATTGAGTTCTAAAAGAAAAAAAGACTTGCCAAAAGGACTTATAGAGTGAATAATATCTGGAAGCGTCAGGAGATCTAGACCATTGTGAAAGTTTACGAGTAATTAAAGGCCAAGGGGAGTTTCCAAATAAAAACCACGTAAAAAGTTATATAGTCAATGGTTATGTACATACATATTATAATATATGTAGCGATTAATTATTAATGTTGCGTAAGGGAAACAGAGCTGAAGGTCTGAACGAAAGAGGAGGCCATTTGTAAATCTTTATAAATAGAATCTATTTCGCCACCAATATGGTACTAATAATTTTGTTACTCAAGTAGTAGGTAGACTCGCTGATAGAGCTTCCTCTGATGAATCCACGTTGGTAAGATAATTAAATATAATGCTTTAATAAAAAACGACACGAGTGAATGCTGTAGTCTAGCATATTAAAGTGAAGTAATAGCATTTGCAAACACTTCGATCAACATTGTTATGAAGCTTTCAAGCGAGGCGAAAACTTTCCTAAGCTCAAGATAAGACATAAAGAAAAGCTGAGCTGTTTAGTACACTTTTAAAAATATTTACCGATAAGACTATGAGGGCCAGCTCCGTTAGAAATATAATGTACGTTGTTTCGAACTGCAGACTACAGAAAGTTCTGGTTTAAGAACTTTTGATATATGTAATCACAAATAATTAAAGACAGGTAATAATATTATCATGATATCAAAATTACTGTTGCAAATAATTCTCAAAAGCTGAACAAAAATATTAATAGAACAGTTTGCAGACACCTCGTGTCATGCAAAGCAGAATGGTTCGAGTTCATATTTCCGAGGAATTTTCCTTCTTACTATTTCTTTTATTAGTGAACGTACGTTTGAATATTCGAGTATTATATATCTTCAGCAGAAAATAAATATTTTTGTAACAACAGTCTATTGAAAGTTTTTCTTGATTCGATGCTGTAATAATGAAATAGTAACCTATTCTGTCAGGGTTTTAAATTTATTTAAGTTCTGAGGATCACATCTTAAACAGAATAGAAAAAAATAACTTTATATAAAAACTGAAAAAAAGAAACAACTTAAGTACTCTGATAAGTGTAAACAAGAAAACAAGAATTCTGTTAAGTGTGCTTCGAGGATAGATCATATTATCAATGACGCCACTTCTAGTTCACACACATTGTGGTTTTCCTCCTTCGTCTGTTATTCAATTACGGGTCCCGCCAATGAGACTTGGCTGTGCGGCATCAGTGCTACGTATCCTAATTATACTCCCATTAATTTAGGTACTTCCTGGTTTCTTGACAAGTGGACAAGTTCTATATGATAACGTTATTATTGTAACTAACCAATATTTTTGCACACATAAAATTATGGTGATTTTCTACAACGACATAGCTAAGAATAAGTTATCACATTTTTAGTCGTATAGTGCATTCTACTTAAGTTTTAAAATTAGAAAGTTTTTATATACCTTGTTCGTATGGATATTTTTACACGAAATGTTTTTAAGTTATTAACATTATAATCATAATTATTTCATTTACAATATGTGGATTAAGTACGTCCCAGATTCCCAGCTGAATAGCTTGTACCACGGCTCTTCGTAATCAGTGGCCTGTATATGATTATTACGTCAAACAAATACAATGCGGGACAGAAAGGCAAGCAAGAGGAACAAATTCACTCAATATCTATATCATACACGAAATTACATCTGCGTCGTTCGTTAGAAGGAAAACTCGTGTTTGACTTTGAATATGCTTCGGATTTATTATTAATATTTTGCTTAATACCTCTTAGTATAGATAGAGCTATAAAAAAAGGTAGAATGGTTCAATTTGCTAACTTTGCTGAGCCCTTACTGTAACTGTTACTTCAGTATATCAACCGACTTAGTGGTTTCGGAAACATATGT